CAGGTTTTCTCAGATATTTATCAATGGATAAAATTGGGAAATTGATGGGAAATGCAATTTGATGTTGTACTTACAATACTAAGATTCGTTTCATTGCCAATAAGTTCCGCGATGCTGTCTTCCCCCTGGCCTTATCTATGGAGATTTGGCGATGTTTGTCCTCTTCTCCGCACCAATAGGATTCGGACGATTCTTGTTCCACCCCCTAGTCGTTGAGCTAGTTGATCCCGATCTAATGAATGACTTTACGTTCGATAGACACAAACCGTTGATACGGACGACGACACGAATTCGATTTTTAGATTTCTTGACCGTCTTGTCTATCTACCGACTGCGCCATTTACGTGTGGGTCAATACAAAAAGCCTTTTTAAAAAAGGTCTTTATTAGAAGCAGGATACAAATGAACTGGTTTCGCTTTGTTTCGAGTTGCAATTGTAACCTCGGTACATGTTCTTATCTTTGCTTAGTGTTTAATTAATTATTGCTTACAATTTAAGTTGCAAGAATGTAACTAAGTACATTATTTAATTAATTAATTTTTTTAATAATACAAGGGAAATAGTACTTCACTGTTTCGAATATAGATGGATGTCATGATGGTATGATGGATTGACATTTCAGATAGCTTTAGTACAGTATAAATGAGAGAATCTGTGACGTAGCCCCATGTAAATCGAAGTCATTTCCGGTCTTTAGAAAAGTAGGCGGAGCCTAATGCGAATAATTTCGGAGTGGTGGGTGGAGTTAAAGTTAGATGTTGCGTTCTGATTGGCCGGTGTGTGTTCTGTCTCTTTTGGTGTTGTTTGTCTTTCTCGCTCTCGTTGGATTATGATACAAGGGTTGATGAGAGTGTGTATTGTGGTGTATGTAATGTATGGAGATTTGGTTGGAAGGCGTGTGGCGTATCCCTTGTATATATAATCAGTGGGTTCGTTGAACGTTACGTTCAGCAGCAGCAGAGTTTGTTTAAAAAGATGACGTCAATATGTTTGGTGTGTGAACTCGGTTGATACATGCAATTTTTTGGACAGGAGAGAGATAGAAAGAGTTGCGTTATCTCCTTCGAACACACATAGACACAATATTTATTTACAATATTAGACCGTTCACGATAGGGATGCTATTTATGACGCTTTCTATACTATTTGCCGTTGACCGCGCAACACCTGTTGTGGCTTCAATTTGACTTAAAGACGTATGAGGTGTCTCAACCACGCTCTGCATTACCAAATTTTCTTTATTTTCATCTGGAAGTTGGTTTTTCTTTACCTTAGCAAAACTCCCGTAATCTACAAGGTTGTCTTTCAGACGCCTAAACATAGTTTTACCAGGTTCTCGCCTTTCTAGATATTTATTTAAATACATCTCTTCAGGTTTCGCTTCATTTCGACGATAGAGAATAAAACACTCCAACATATCGTGTTTTTCATAATTTGAAAAGTGATTCATTTTGAAATCCACAATTAATTACAAACACTTGACACTGACAATAAATTCTACTTTGTTAGTTACC